AAAAAATAAAAATAAAAAAATAGAAAATATAATATTATATCTAATAACTTACAGAAAAACATGAATACAAATAGAAAAATCTTAGTTATAAATAGTATCTTGATATTTAAATTATACTAAAATTTTTTTTCTATACTGACATTATAATAATAATAATAATAATAATAATAATAATAATATATATATATAGTTATCACGTGATTTTAATTGATTTTTTCAAATTGTTATAATTTGTCTTGACTTTTTGTAAATTTGTGATTAAAGTTGATTTGTTAAACTTGACACTCGATTAAGTCGATAGAGTTTAAAAAAAAAAAATGATTTTGCAATTTCAAATATCATAAATATATATTTTATTAATACATAATAATGTTAATTAATGGGTGAAATTCGAGATCGATCTCAATTTATTCAAAATTAACTAGTAATTCTTAGCATCTTGTGCCAACTCTTCAAATTCTTTCTCTTCTCTCATTTTACTACCCCTATTTCTTGGAATCAAACCTTGACCGATCTCTTGTTCTTGAATTTTTTGACCTAAACCACCTTTTTGAGGAGTTTGCTTTGTGCCTTCTTCATGTGTTTTTGCTTCGGCTATTATCAAATACACATACATAGATAATAAATATTTTGTCAGAGCTGGATTAAAAATTTTTACTAGATCAAATCCTTAAAAAGAAAGCAAGTATTTTTTACGCGCGAACCTGTAGGATAAACGCCCTTAACGTTCAAAGGAAGGGTAGAATCTCTGTTTAGTGGTTCTAGTAGTTGATTTTTGGTATTTTCAAAAGACATGTTTGTTTTTCAATCGGCTTTTTTTTTTTTTTTTTGAGTAGAAATTTAATTCCCGATATAAATCTATAAAATCTACATTTTCATTTTATGCAACATATATAATCGCAGAATTAAATCATGGAGATTAAATAATATTGACATTTAAACTATTTAAAGTTTGGATTAATAATATTGATATTAAACTATTAAACGTTAATAGAAAGAACATGAATTAATAATAATGTCGACATTAGAAGTAAATTTGATGTAAAAATGACGTTTTAACTCAGATAATCAGGAGCACTGTGGTTTATTTCTGACCATCGATTTATAATATACTTACTGTATGAATTTTTAAAAAGTGATAATTCAGTGATTCAATAATTGATAATAAGAGACCTACTTTATCGTTATATATTATATATTTCATTTTTAAGGGTCCGATAAAGCGGATAGATTCAAATAATGATTAAAAAAAAAAAAAACTAAATGTTTAAACTTATTAAATTTTAACTGTTAAAAAGCACTAATAAAAAAAAATGCCTAGAATATAAATTTACATATATATAGTATAATAATCCTAACTCAGGACTAATCTGCTAACTCAAGGATAATCTTAAGACTAATCTTTGCTTAAGGATATCATGAGACTAATCTTTGCTCAAGGATAATCTTAAGATTAATCATCTTTGCTCAAGAACAACTCTAACCCCAAAATAATGAATTTTGTCTCGTTTTATCGATCCCCAAAATTTGATTTTTTTAGTCGACCCGATACCAAGTGAAAGATCAAAATATACCGGAACGAAACAAGACATATAATTTATGCATACTATATGAGATAAGCTTTACTCATCGTGTACTCATCGTTTTAAATTGCGTGGACCTTGATGAAAGGAACAGGTTCGTGGTCATGCAAGGCAATAGAATCACATGTCTAAAATGCCTTAAGGTAAGACGAATTTACTGTATGTTGACTTAAATAAAATACAAACAAGATTTATTCTTTACTTATTACAGCATAAAATGCTTGTTCTTTGTGACAATGATAAATGCGTCGCGTTGATCCTTCTCTTTTTCATTGATCGATGATCACGAACATGTTATTGGTGGCTGTGAAAAATTTAAAGATTTTTGGCTTATGGGATTGTTTATAATAAGCTGTTATACCTGCACAGTACAGCCTGTATTTCGGCAAGCCTTTGATACGTGGTAAGATGATAACACATGTCGCGTCAATGATTTCCTGTTAATTTCTTCTCTTTAAAACCAAAAAGATTTACGTTATTTAATGACAAATTAATGCATATAATGAGAATGATAACCACAATTAAAGTTTTTTTTATCCGAGAAAAGATGCAGATTTTATTTTAAAAAACATTTTATTATAACAAAATGTATTTAAATAAACCGGATACGAAAAAAAAACTCTTTAATAATATTTTTTATAAATTTAATAAAAATAATAAAAATAATAAAATAACCGTTTATAAGAAATGCATTCTTGACACCTGGTCGGTTGTTCTTTCCAAAAATGTCAATAACCATATGATCTTTTAACATTGGGCTGAAAGTTTATTTTTATTTTTATTTTGGAAACAATAGCACTTCATGTGCCTTTCATTGTTCACTTCTTAAATGTCTTTTTATTTCTATTTTAATTAATATTAATAGTATAATAGATTATAAAAAAAAAAATTTTTAAAGAAAAAAAAAAAAAAAAAAAAAAAAAAAATATTAAATCCTAATTACAGGATTATATATACTATCAATCTATCTAATAAAATAATAAAATAAATAATATAAATATTATATAAATATTATTTATTCTCGATTGAATTTTATGAATTAAAGTAAGTTTACCGGTATCAATATCAATATCAATATCAATCATTATTTAGAGTCTGAATTCGTTTACCTACAAAGAATATAATTTGTTACTTCGCGATTCATTGATTCGTCACGGATTACGTCTCGTTTTTTTTTGTCTCCTAAACTTTTTATATCTATTCCCGAGGCTGTGTTCGGTAATCAAAAAAAAGTTTATCAATCATGATCACATCGATTGGTAGATAATCTTAGCTTAATAAAAGGATTTTCTTTTTTTTTTTCTTTTTTATTCTCTTTCTATTTGCATTTTTCTAATTAAAAAATAAAAAGCTCTAAAATTTCGCGTTTGTGTTTCGTTGTCAATCCTGACGGATGATTCTATACTATTCTTGAGGTAACGTCTGTGCAAGATAATCCATTGTTTGTTTTTTAATATATAGAAAAGCTAGCCAATTA